TCCCTGGAGTCTGAAAACAAAATGGTAGTACTTGCTTGCTCCCAAGAAACTGTTTGAGCCTGCTGCAGAATTCAGAATAGGAATGTGGATCACAATCCAATTAAGCTTATTGTGTGCCTCTGCTACTCACAGAATGTCCCCGTACAACAATCTAGGGGAAGGTATACAGTGGGCACAGCTCTGGAAAGTGCTGGGTGGTAGTAAAAGCTTTTGATGATTAGACTGAGCACCTATTAGAGCCTTCCTTCTCTGTTTCCCTCCAGTGTGTTCCCTACTCTTGACCATCTTGTACTCTCTTCCATCATCCATCATGTGGTGAGTGTTAAGTCAAACCTTCTTGAGACCTCAGAACCGATCCATGTTGACTGCTTGCACAAGTGAGAGAGCAGTGTACTTGCTTCTACCTCCTGGATTAACGTTCATCTCAAGGTTCCATAGATGTCCTGTGTTATAAAAAAAAAAAAAATTGCAGATGGTAGGCTCTGCAGCCAAGAGGTTTTTCAGTTGTTGATCCTGTTTTGTTTTAGAGTTGGAACTATTTGCAACATGGTTTCATACAATATCACTAATGAAAAAGGAACCCAAAACTCACATTTAGAAGAAGTGGTTCAAGTTCAAGTTATTTGGTTAGCGTTGTCTCTTACCAGCTCTAGGCCTGCCTTGCACTTGTAGGTGAGACATGTGGGTAGAGACCACTGGTTCCTAGTATTGGCTTAAAGAACTGTAGGTCCAGTGATTGTCTAACATCTGTTTTCCTCTGAAACTACCACTACTAGAATTTGGTTGGTGAGGGTCCCTTTTCTGCCGTTCCCTGCCCCCGATTCTTTTTTGCTTTTTCTTTTTGTTTTTTCTTTTCTTTTCTTTTTTTTTTTTAAACAAATTAAACAAAAGCAGCAGCTTTTTCTAAAAGCATCAGTGGAATGCTATTTGGTGTTTCTGAAAGTGATAGCAATTGTGTGGCAAGTTTCTGTGTTCTCAAGGACTTTCTTTCTTGGTAGTTAATATAATGTGCAGCCGTGTGTGTGTGTGTGTGTGTGTGTGTGTGTGTGTGTGTGTGTGTGTG